CATTTTACAGAAGGAAAGTGTCTCGTTCATAGAGTATGGGGCGTTAACAGCTAGGCAGTAAACATGGTTTTAATTTTAGTGCAAGTACGAATTAAAGTAGGTGTTGGTTTGAAAGAGAATTGCAATTTCTATGGCTTCGTTACAACTAGCCGACGTTTGACCACTGTCTCGCCTTATGGTAAGCGGTGATGCGGTCTACGATGGAGCACGTCGCCATAAGTTCTCCCATAAGTCGCCGTTCCATAAGCCAATACTCGGACCTTGAAGACACCCAGGTTGTATACTCCTTAGCGATAGTAGTTTTCTATGTTATACATTTCACACAAACACAAAAGTTTCATAGTTCTACCTTCAATTCAATAACTGTTGTTCTTGTTCAAAGGAGTAAACTTTATATTTACCTACGTAAATTATTTTAATAAAGAACTTCGCTTGAGAAAGTATGAAAGGTAACGACCATAATACCATTGTGGCCTCATACCTAAAGTTCTATGTAAAGAGGTCAGGGATTCATCTTTTCTTGGAATGGCAAAATGAATTCCCTGAATTTTGCCACAGTTCAGTGTAGGTACTATTTAAATAGGAATTGCAGGAGTGCTTGAAGCCAATAACCAATACTATGATAGAAAATTATATGAAAACTAGCGGCCCGGTACGTGCTTCGCTACGTATAAAGTGAAATAAAATAAACAAATCGGAACATCAAATTCATTTATTTAATCAAAAAAATATTTTATTTAAAATCTAATTCAATTGCTAGCTATTTACAACACACTTAATCCAAAACATTTGGATAAACAATATTTTTTAATGCATCGTAACTACGATGAAGTTCCGAAACACGTTGCAATTGCTCATTTCTACGATGAAGTACAATATCACGGGATTGAAACTGATCACCAAGAATTACAATTGCAACCTCATCAATTGTTGGTGCATTAAATCGCCTTGCATGCTCTCCAAAAGGTGTTCTATCAGCTCTTATTACGATTTTGTGATTATCAGTTGGCATACGATCGAGAGCAATTTTAAACAATTGAACTAATGCGTTATGCTGATGGAAAAACCTTTGTAGCTCACGAATAATTTCTCGTCTTGTATTCGAAACAATTGCACAACGTTGATCCAATTCACGATTTTCATCACCAATAAAATAAATTTGCAAAAATTGATGATCAGCGTCGGGGTATGGCAATAACGAACCAGCTTGATGATAAATCTGGCCCTGAATCTGTAACATGTATACAATTTTAGGTAAATCTTATATCAGTTTTTTTTTAAATATACTTTATGCTTCAGATTGATACAAACATGGAATAATCCTGTTGAAGTATTTACCTTAAACGTCGGCATAAAATTATCTCTAATAATTTTAGTTGCACCAAAAGAAGTCATTTGAAATGCCGAATTGTATTGTTGAATATGACTCAGAAAGTGCTTCGACGCTTGCGATGTCCCAAAAATAAATGAATACAATGGTTCGGGTGGAGTTTCTAATGCTGGCAATCTCACTTTGCCATTAGCACAACACATGCCGGGCGTTTCACCTGGAAAGTTAGCCGCATCACAATGTGGACATATTGCGTCCATCATTCCAATGTATCCATACATACTATAATCAATCTGACTGTTGTAATTAAAAGCAGCACGCATCATTTCAGCCAAAACAGCACGACGTATTCGTGATGGCCGTGCAAGATTCAGTACAGGTACTGGGTTAACAAATCCATTGCGTGCATTACGTTCACGCTGCGATGCATTAGCTTGTGCGCGTTCATCTGCAGTCTGTGATCGTCTTAGTAATGCCACATCATTTGCATTACGCGTTCGCCGACCTATATTTGCTCGTCTGGCTGGTGGCATTTTTCCCGTATGCACATATGTTTTCGCTTAAAAATCGAAAAAAAAAATTAAAAAAAAAAAAAAACAAATTCCCAAGAAGCTGTCGCATATGATGCTATGTGAAATCATATACGGCAACTTAGAAAAGTACACATAAATTCAGGACTCACCGTTTGTATGAATGCACTGCAAATGCAATTATGTGAAAAGAAATTTATCGCTGATAATATGCTTTAATCAAACCACGTCCAAAATGAACTGACGGCATGAATGACATAACAACGTGCTTGTCCTGTCAACAAAACTTCAAAAAAGTTTCTGTGAAAAAAGTTTCTATTGAATTCATTTATTACAAAAAATGTGACAAATGAGGAACCGCTCGACCGATTTTGTGCAAACTTCACATAAACCATCTACTAAATATGCCGACCAAATCCTAAGCATTTGGTTTGGATAGGTGAGCCCGTTCTTGAGTTATGGAATTACAACGAAAAGTGGCATTGATTTTTATATATATAGATGGAAATATTCTCACAATTTTATTTCTGGAAAATCGCATTCGAATATCAAACGTGATATAAACGAATCGAATTGAGATCCCTACAATTGGGCTGATGACAAGGTATGAAAATTAAAAGTCCTTAAGTTAGGTAATGAAAAAATTATAGACACTTTTCTTTTACTTTGTCGTATAATAAAACAATACTTAGATAAAACAAATCAAAGTTTAGGAGTGGGGACTAAAACGTCACTTCTATGTATAAAATGTACAGAGAAGTGACGTCACGCGACAATTCAAATCAATATATCGTCGAAATTATTAGTTTCTGTAAGAAAATAAAAAATACGTGTCTAATGATTTAAAATAATCTACCCTTTTAATCGGAATGTCCGCTAAGAATATTCTACAGACATTATGTAACGATACATCTCTTAAACCTAGGTACCTAACATACATATGCACAAATACTTTAACAGGCACATAAAATATATACCGTTGGACGAGTGGTCGCAAGTGCGATTTGCCCGGGGGCAAGGAGTCTCGGGCTCGATTCCCGGGTCGGGCAATGTATTACGGCGTTTTTTAAAAAAATTCTCAGTACTAGCACGGAGTGTTGAATTGTGCCCGGTATATGGCAATAGGCTCACCCCCTATTACATGGGACTCATAACATAGATAGTGAAAAGTGGGTGTTACACTACCCCATCGGGGAATGGGGGGATAAAAGCCCCGATGTTATGTTATGTTGTGAAAGTAAAACTCACTTTGTAACAGATTTTCAACACACAAACGTTTTTCCTGACAAGAAATCAGAATGTGCTCAATTGGGTACTTGCCTTAATCAAAAAATAAATTATTTCGACTGTTCAATATACAATAAAATATTACAAAATAATCACACTTTCATTGATTGATTTTATGACCAACTTAATTTTAGTATTTTTCCAGCAACGTTTTACAAAATAAGTATGCTGTTTGACGCTAAAAAACGTGACGTCACAATACACTAATGTCGTTCGAAAAAAGTATTGAATTTGACTAGTTGGCAAGTACCCAATTGGTTATACGAAAAACAATATACATATAATACACACAATCAAAAAAAATACTTATTTATATGTCAATACGTAATGTTATCTATCGTAAGTAAATTGTATACGGTATGTTTGTATATATTTTCCCTTTACTCGTATCTCGTTTTAACGAGACAGCTGACATTCAGTATTTTTGATCTAAGCGACATTTACGTGATCATAATACACGATATATTTATATATATTGAAACCAGTCATAGTCACAGTTATATGTTTGATAATCTTCAATCAAAATCAAGTTTGAATTGTATCATTATTGACGCTTAATGATTTTTTGTGATTTTATTTTTCAATCATCATCATCATTATCATCATCATTAGCAACCTATAAGTGCCAACTGCTGATCAAAGGCCTCTTCTCTCACGGAGAAGGTTTGAACATTAATCACTACGCTTGTTCAATGCAGGTTGGACAACTTAGAAACTATAAGCCCAGGTTTCCTCACGATTTTTTCCTTCACCGTTTATCAGTGGTGTGAAAACAGTCTTAGAAAGTAAATATAACTCGGAAAAAGTCACATTAAGTCCGTCATTGTATGATTGTACCTACATTTATTTTATTTATTAAGAGTTACCAACATTTGATTACACAACTACAGCAAGCAAAGAGGAATGAGCCTATGTGTAACAAACAATTACAGGTAACCACAACATTTACTGGTGCAAATATGTGTATATAACAAAAAAGAAGTTCTTAATTACTATCCTTAAATCTAGTTCTAACACAAAATACTAAACCATATAGGTACATAATCCACTATCTGTGTAGATTGGATAATATGCATTTATGCACGCTGGAACGGAACCGACCAAGCGAGTCCAAGTGAACATCTGTGGAATCAGAGTATTTATTCAGGGCGCTACATGAAGTGTTAAATAAATAAACAAATAAGTAAATAATAGTATTACATTTTTCTACAACTGTGGCACAAAGGACGGTTCTAGTGTTACACTGAAATAAATGTTGTGTGTAACTACACATTACTAGCAAATTATACAGAAGTGTAAGATATAGCCTACCTGCTTGTGAAAACACAGAAGTGAATAACGTTTTCGTTTGATTTAAATGAAATTAGACCTTGTGCCGTTTATGATATTGAGTATAAAGTAGCAATCAACGTTTATATGCCTGCTATGTTCAGCAATAAAATATACTCATATTACGCTCTTCAAATTAATTAGTTAAGTAATTAATTAATTATAAACAATATGTTATAACAGTCGCCTAGTCGGCGAACTTTCTCAATTTTCGAGTTAAACAAGGAGGTTCATTAATAACAATGAATATTTAAATACTTTTACATTCGTTACTGGCTGACGTTACTAATTAAAGGTAACTTCTACAGGGTTTTTCTATTCCCACCATATTAAATATTACTTTCATATAATAGTCTTTGTTGTTTTCGTGAAACACGTTCAATTACTGTAACTATTTATAATTACGTTGGCTTAATTAACGTTTCGTTTTCGTTATATCATATAACGTTTAAACTTCGTGTAGTAGAGAAGTGTTGAGGATCTAATTTGATAGAATATTTTGAGTAATATTTGATGTAAAGATCATGTCACTAAATACAAGAACTTTGTTAAGAACAATTTGTAAGTATGTGTATTACGCTGGAGCAGGGAACTGTTGGTACGAGGATATCTACCATGAGACTATCCCTTACTATATGTACAGCGTAGTTACATTCTCAATTTACACCACCATGATTTTCCTTGAAAACCTCGCCGCATTGTTCGGGAACTTTCCCGGAGTGGAAAAGAATTCAGCAGTTATGTTCGCTGCTATACACAACATTGTTCTCACTAAGATGTTTCTCCTTTTATATCATAAAAAATCTATAAGGAAATTAAACTATGAAATGGCTAACGTCGGAGCGAGTTATGAAGAGGATTATGTTATGCGAAAACAATATCGTAAAGCGACAGTTGGTATATGGCTGTACGTCATATCTGTTTACCTGTCTCTCTCAGCGTATGGGATCGAAAGTGCTAGAAGGGCGATCGTTGAAGGTTTGTTCTCACATATCTTTCAAAGAATTCAAAGAAAATACTATCAGTTTCTTGCTATTCATACAATGTTTATGTTAAGTTTCTTTGTCATGCATACATACTTATCCCTGCACTTAATCATATTTATTATTACTATGCAACCAACTTAAAGTCACGTTCACGTTATCATCCGGGTAACCAGATCAACGATAATCGTAAATTCTTTACTCTATCTGTGCGTTTCCAGGGGCCCCTTTTTATACCGTGGTCACATATTTACCAGTTTACGACGACAACTCCGCTGTAGCACTGTTTTTTCGAATATTTTTCTACATAACATGGCTGTACATGATGCTACCGATGATGTCTGCCGACTGCATGCCAATCACGCATTTGATCACCATGACATACAAGTTTATTACTCTGTGCCATCATTTCGAACGGATACGGTCAGAGTTCGATAGTAATATAAAAGTAATGAACAAACGGGAAGCAATAGACAAACTAAAAGCTGGATGTTTGGAAGGTATTCGGATGCATCAGAAACTTCTGTAGTAAGTTCTTAAGTTCTTTTGTTTAACTTTTAGGAAAGTCACATTGGTACTTGCCGTTGGTAGGTTTCGAACCCGCACCCTCATGCATGAGAAGCGTCTTAAACCTCCGGGCCACCACGACCACTTTTTGGAACCTCGACTAGAACACATATTTTAATAAAATACTATTTTTATGCATACTTCAGTTACAAATTCATCGTACAAAACCGATCTAACCCAACTGTTCGGCAAACACAAATAAATCCAGGCATTGTTTTATGAATGTCACAATGATTTTTATGCGAAATGTTGAAAACGGTAAATATTCGATTTGATATTTTGGAATAAGTGTTGATTTTGACTTACGGTTGAAATAACATAACATCACACCTTTTATCCCCGAAGGGGTAGGCAGAGGTGCACATTATACCACTGTAGAATATTTAAAAACGCAGTAATACTTTGCCCGACCCGGGAATCGAACCCGAGACCCCTTGCCCAGCAGTCGGTTTTTAAAAATCTCAGTAATAGCACGAAGTCTGGAATTGTGCCCGGTATATGACAATAGGCTCACCCCCTATGACATAGGACTCATAACATAAATTGTGAAAAGTGGGTGTTACATTGTACAGTAGCATTAAGTGCCGCCATGTGCACCTCTACCTACCCCTTCGGGGGTAAAAAGGCGTGATGTTATGTTATGGAACGCGAGTGAAGCCGGGGGCATAAGTTAGTAAAATAATATGTTCTTATTAATTGTTTTCTAAGTTTCGAAATTCTATCATTTGTTTATTTGGCAACTAATTATTTCATTATTTTATTACACAAACTAGCGACCCGCCCCATGTTCGCACGGGTGTAATATGCATGTATATACATATAAACCTTCCTTAAGAATCGCTCTTTTCATTAAAAAAATCGCATCAAAATCCGTTACGTAGTTTTAAAGATCTAAGCATACATAGGGGCAGACAGACGGCGGATAGCGACTTTGTTTTATAATATGTAGTAAAGCCGATAAAGTTACTGACATGCAGACTGAAAATGACAAACAAAATTCTCTTTCCCAGGCCTCCTTGCTGTCGAGTGCTATGTTTTACTCCGGTTGGCACCTCTGCGACATTGAGAAGGACCATGACATTCGAAAACTGGTAATCATAGGTTGTACGCAGGCGCAAAAACCTCTCATCCTTAAAGCATTTGGTATTCAAGACTTGTCGTATGAAACTTTCGTATCTGTAAGTAATAAAAATACGATTTCAATGCCTTTTTCGAAATTATACCACGAACCTTTTTTATTGAGAATGTTAATTGCGAAAAAATGTAATGTCGAAAATATAAATGTAATAGGTACGTCTTGCATATAATTTAAAGTGACAATTAAATTAAATGTATGAAGTCAATGAATAACAGTTTTGATAAACATTGGTTTGATAATTGGTAATACATAGACGAATATAGGGGGAAGAACATACCATCCAATTAACTGTTAAAAAGTAATTATATGAGATTACTAGCTGTTACCCGCGACTTCGTCCGCGTGAAATAGCGACTTCTGTATAAATTGGGTTTTTAAATTAGTCTTTGTCAAGGTATATTCTACGGCTGTACAACTGGAACAAATATCATCACAATCGATTCAGTACCTAGGTTATATTTATTGAGAAATGAATTTATTTTCGTGGTTTCTAAAATAAACAATCCCATAGAGGTTTTACCCGTACAGTGCCCGTCTCGTGAGGTTTCACTATTCTATGTTTGCAAATCAATGTTGTATCGCATTTCAATCAAATAGATATAGTGATTTTAACAGCACAGTTCCCGGTTTCGTGGGTTTTTCGGGTTAAAAACTTTTAGATGTCCTTTCCCGGGTCTCAAACTATCGCTGTACCGAATTTCACCAAATAGGTTCAATGGTTTAAAAGGTAAGAGCCCCTCTTTATTTCAACGTCCTTAGTCCTGGTTTTTTAGCGCATAGTTTCCGTCATTTTGGGATTTCCTCTCTCCTATAATGTGACCTGATATGTACCGGTACGACATGCGTTACTATCGCAAACATTTAAATGAAAAAATAGGTATTCTGATATTAGGTTAGTTACATATGATACATGGACTTTAATGTTGATATTAATGTCCTCTATAAGACTTAATACACCCCTTTGGCTCTATTGTCCATAATTTCCACAGCGTAATCAATACCAATAATATAAGGAGTTTTTTTGGTGGTTTTTTACACATCGGGTTGTCATTACCTAAAGGAGATTTTTTTTGAGGTCGGAAAATCATCCAATCACTTCTCCCGCCTTGGGTTAGGTGAGAGGGAGTGACAGATTCTTACTGACTAAAATCCACTCCGTTCCTACTCCTGCTCGTCGAGCCGGAGCCCCGTCAACTCGTTAGGCCTCCCGCGGCACCGTATCGAGCATCAGCCCTACTGGGCTCCATCTATGATGGTGTCATGGCTCTGTAAGGCGCGCGCAGTATGCACGGGACTGGTTCTGGTCGGGTGGCGAGCTACCCTTGCTCTTCGTCTACAGACCCGCACTTACGGTGGCCTGTGGTCGGCCGATCTCCGACGCCCAGAGTGTCTCCCGCGACGGCTGGGGCGTGAGGAAGTTCGTGCCCTCACGCGCTCCGCTTTCTCCTTGGCAAGCATAACTGCTTCGCAGAATGATGCGACTGCATCCCAATCCCCCTCGCTCCATGGCCTGAACCAGAGCCGAACGCGAGAGGTCACCGTTTCCTACATCCCTGAGAACACGGCGGTGCTCAGCCCATGCAAGGTACACCGCCACGATATGCTCCACCGTGTTCTCCGGGCGGTCCTCGCATTGATGGCCTCTCTAAAGCCACTTTTAAAGAGGGGACTTTCCGCTGCAATGACAGCGAGCCCAGCCCTCGGTTACCTAAAGGAGTGTTTCGCTGTGTAAGTGAGGTTACCGGAGGCCCAATTACCCCTCCCTCAGCCCCCCCAATCCCTGACAATCCTCAAATTACCAATTCCCAAAAGACCGGTAACGCACTTCTAGCACTTCTGGTGTTACAGGTGTCCATGGGCGGCGCAGATTGCTTACCATCAGGTGATCCGTCTGCTCGTTTACCGGCTTATGCCATAAAAAAACAGCAAACTATCATAGTGAATTTGGCCTTGACGGTCTAAAATGAAAAGGACTAATATTATTTTTTAGCTATGTGCATTTAGCTAGTTTTTTTGATATACATATAAAAAATACGAATTCAAGTAAACTGAAAATATTTTATTCGTGGTTTTATCTCCTTAGACTGCTGTCAACCTCTTTGCATACCTTAATATTAATACCATAGTATAAAAAAAATCTATGACACATTGACTTTGTAAACTCACTTGTCACACAAATCTCAGATGACTTAAGAAATGTAGAGGTATACTAATAATATAAATTTGTATGTGCTTGTTTGTTTGTTTGTCCGTATTTCACGACAGAACGGAGTCAGGAAGGTTTTTGATTTGAGATAGTTGAAAAGATGGAGAGTATCATAGGCTACTTTTTGTCTTTTTCTAACCCCCTTCCACTTCCGTGAAACAGAGGTGAAAGTTTGTATGGGGTATTTTGCAATTTTCAATGTGGAAAGCTAACAATTGGTATGCGGGTTATTTGTGACCAGCATAGAATCGTGCATCATTTCATTTTTTTATTGTAAATCCTTCCCTCACCCCATTAAAAGAACGCGAGAGAAGCCGCAGACAGAGGCTAGTCTATGAATAAATTGTATTCGTATTTTGTCTTTAAAATCTCTGATGCAGCTGAATACTAATATCATTCCTTGAAAACCCACAGAACTTCATTTTTATATGTTGATGCCAAAATATATTATGGTAGTAGGACGCCATAACAATTACAAATCATCAGGTTGGTTACCATAGTAATGTTACCTATCAGATATCCGTTTTCAGGTTTTCAGATAAATCGTAATAAATAATTTGAACTTTATGCAGCGGTAATAAATTACAAATTGACTCTCCATTTTATTTAGAAAACGTTTGTATGGGAAATAGAAAAATGCTGTTTTGAGGATTTTCCCGGCAATTATTCGAATTTTTCTCACCTTTTAAACCTTCCCTAGACCTCCACGAATAATTCAAGACCAAGATAAGATAAATCCGTTCAGCCGTTGTCGAGTTTTAGCGAGACTAACGAACAGCAATTGATTTTTATATATATAGATTATATTTACATTTATACACATTCATTACATATTAAATGTGTGAGAGCTACCACGGCCTCACAGAAAACCGACGTGAAACAACGCTTGCGTTGTGTTTCGTAATGTGAGTGAGGTTACCGGAGACCCAATTACCCCCCCTCCCCTCCCTTACCCAATCTCTCTAATCCATGAATCCCCGAAAATCCCCAAAAGCTCGGTAACGCACTTGTAACGCCACAGGCGTTCCAGGCCATCGGCGACCAGCTTACCATCAGGTTATCCGTCTGCTCGACTAATAAAAAAAATGAATGAGAATATTTCGTTACAGGTAGCCAGAATGACATACTCAGTGTTTGCGGTATTTTACCAAAGAGGCGAGTAATATTTTGCACCATGTTACAAAATAACGCGCACTGAAAAGAAAAAAGTGTTTACGTGAGTGTATTATCACAATTTCACAAAATGTTGAATTAAATCATAATTACATGTATGAAAAACCTGTTTTATTTACGAAAGCAAATAACTTTATGACCAGTAATTGTTAACACCATTTACTTACAGACAATTGAAACAAATGGACACGCCCCGTAAACTGACTATTTAACACGTTAGAGGGCGTTACAGGGCCCGAAAATTAGTATTCTCTACTCCGAGGGTCCACATTATGCCTCGTAGAAAGTTTCGATAAATCCTCACACGGACCTTTCGACATTTCCAACGACAGTCGACGTGTGGGTAAACGAAAAGGTCGCATACCTAATGTATTTAAATTAGTTAAAATTCCATTAGTTTTGGTAAACTTCACAGTTCACACTACGTGCTTATTAAGACCACAAT